TACTTCCTGTTTTACTTTGAAGGTCCGTGTCTTATGTGAATGCGTCCTGCTTTGCTTGTCTCGTCAGTCCTGATTTCTCCCAGCTGTGCCCTCCTTCTGTGTCTCATTCCCCTCGTTACTTCCCAGTGTATTTAAACCCTGTGTTTCTCTGAGTCAGTGGCGTGTCGTCCCTCAAGCTGTGTTTCCTCGTGTGCCTCTCTGCAAAGTGTGAGTTTATATTTTCCCAGTTTAGTTTTGTATGCTTTTCCCCTGCCAGCCAATAAAGCTGAGTTTTTTGAGTTCATCCCTTGAGTCTGAGTGCCTGCATCTTGGGTCCTACTCCTGCCTGCCACACGGCGATTCATGACACATGTTCACAAAATCTTTCTTTGGTTTTCAAATAGTGCCTATAATCTGCTATAGAACAAAAACAAAAAGCAATTGGTTGAAAAGAGGGTTAATGTGTGAGTCATGTCTTAAGGTACACTATCGAACCCTTTTTTCTATGAGGAGTCAATCATTACAATTCTTTGTTTCCTTTTTTTATTTGTTTGTTTTGTTTTGAACAGAGAAGCCCTTTGACACAACCATTTCCATCATCTCTGCTGTGGCTCCACTTGCTGCCACCCTCATAGTGGCTGCTGCTTTCATTTGCAAAAAGAAGAAAGGTAAGATGAAAAAAACACCTATTTTCTTCTCTACTTAAATTTGATGCTTGGAAAATTCAGCATTTCTCTGAAATGTAATAAATAAGGGAAATATTTTCTTTCCTCTTGTTTCAGCTGAATGCCCTCCCTGTCGTGAGTAAAACCTATTCATGCTTTTACTATAATGAATAGCAGATTAAGAGTGAAAAGTCCTCCTTTGTGAATAACCAAAATGTCCATGCCCATGATTTCAAATAATAAGGACACTGTATCCATAAGTAATACCTGTAAACCAAACATTCAGATTTTGGACTACATCAGAATTCTCCTGCCCCTAATCCCTGTATATCACTGCGGTTAGACACATTTCAGATGACTCTTGCTGTAAACTGACAGAGTGGGGGGTGAGCACAGATGGCTTACATACCTGCTGTGCACAAACATTAAAAGTCGACTTACTTTCCATTGTATTTTGCCAAGTAAAACACAAAATACAAAAGTAAGGAAATACTAAAAGTAATGACAGACGTGACTAAGAGTTAAATGGTAATAAAAACATAATTATACCAGCTGTTTATTAAAGAAAATTATGCAGCATAAGTAAACTCAGTTTGTTTTTTCTTACAGCTCCTGACAGCATCTCTGAACTCTCTGAGAAACTGAATCCAGAAGCCTGATAAACACTCTGCATACAGAAAATTACCTTAGAAGAGCAATAGGTTAGGTTGTGATATCAACTAAAAAACTTTCTTAAAATTCTTGAATATTTCTCCATTATATTTAAGAGTTACTGTAAAGTCTGCACTTCTGTATATAAAGTATGTTGTGGGTAACTGTCTTACATTAAGTTTTTGTTACATCTTGACATTGAAATTCTGTAGTATCATGCATACAAAATGGCCTGTATTTGTATAGCGCTTTACATAGTCCCTAAGGACCCCAAAGCGCTTTACACTACATTTTGTCATCCACCCATTCACACACACATTCACACACTGGTGATGGCAAGCTACATTGTAGCCACAGCCACCCTGGGGCGCACTGACAGAGGCGAGGCTGCTGGACACTGGCGCCACCGGGCCCTCTG